GGCCTAAGGCCACCTATACAGTATTGTAATAATAGAAGAGTGTATGATGGGGGCCCAAGGCCACATATATAGTATTTGTATGACGGGGGCCTAAGGCCACCTATACAGTATTGTAATAATAGAAGAGTGTATGATGGGGGCCCAAGGCCACATATATAGTATTTGTATGACGGGGGCCTAAGGCCACCTATACAGTATTGTAATAATAGAAGAGTGTATGATGGGGGCCCAAGGCCACATATATAGTATTTGTATGACGGGGGCCTAAGGCCACCTATACAGTATTGTAATAATAGAAGAGTGTATGATGGGGGCCCAAGGCCACATATATAGTATTTGTATGACGGGGGCCTAAGGCCACCTATACAGTATTGTAATAATAGAAGAGTGTATGATGGGGGCCAAAGGCCACACATATAGTATATGTATGACGGGGGCCTAAGGCCACCTATATCGAATTGTAATACTGTGGGGGACCAAGGCCACAAATATATTATTTGTATAGCGGGGGCCTAAGGCCACCTATATAGTATTGTAATAATAGAATAGTTTATGATGGGTGCCCAAGGCCACATATATAGTATTGTAGTATAGGGTATGCTGGCGGCCCACCAAGGCCACATATATAGTATTGTGTATGAAGGGGGCCTAATGCCTCCTATATAATAGTGTGTGGTAAGCCTTGGTTGTAAGCTATACCGCCTCCAGCAAAGAAAAGTAGGCTGCATCACTTGCACAGTTTATTATTGCGCCAGAGGGCCCTAGGCACCCGGTGGCTTAAGGCCACACTTGGATGAGGATATCTGTCGCCTGCATAAGCAGCGGATACCTTACATGCAAGGTCTTCCTCCTAGTTATTAAATGATGTCTACTGATGGAATGTTATCATATAAATCTATGCTATGATAACTCCTCTTTAATTTAAATGCATAATCTTTCAAAAATACGATTTCTCTTGGGAGATATGGCGCATGCGCGCGCACCGTGTTATACGTGCAGTGCCGTCTGAGGAAAACTTCTTAATATAGCTTGCTAAGGGGGAGAGGAGATTGGAGACTGAGGAAAGGCGGCATGGAAGATAACTGGGGGCAGTAGAAGAATAAGGAGGCTGAGCGAGGGACAAGGGAGGCAAGGGGTAGGACGTGAGGGCATAAAGTAGGTATTTTGTACCCTACATGCTAGGGCGGTCTCCTAATTATAAACACAGGTCTACTGATAAAAGTTTATTAGGGAAATCTATGCTGAGATATCCCCTAACCATTTTAAATGTATATTCATCACAAATTATAACTCGTCTGGTGAGATATTGCGCATGCACTAACACACTAACGTTGCCAGATTGTGTACTGGCTGGTAAACGCAGCAAAAACTTTACGTGCAATGTCTTCCTCCTATTTATTAAATAATGTCTACTGATGGAATGTTATCATATAAATCTATGCTATGATAACTCCTCTTTATTTTAAATGCATAATCTTCACAAATTATGACTCTTCTGGTGAGATATTGCGCATGCACTAACACACTAACGTTGCCAGATTGTGTACTGGCTGGTATACGCAGCAAAGACTTTACATGCAAGGTCTTCCTCCTATTTATTAAATAATGTCTACTGATGGAATGTTATCATATAAATCTATGCTATGATAACTCCTCTATATTTTAAATGCATATTAATCACAAATTATGACTCTTCTGGTGAGATATTGCGCATGCACTAACACACTAACGTTGCCAGATTGTGTACTGGCTGGTAAACGCAGCAAAAACTTTACGTGCAATGTCTTCCTCCTATTTATTAAATAATGTCTACTGATAATTTTGTGATGAATATACATTTAAATGGTTAGGGGATATCTCAGCATAGATTTCGCGAATGAACTTTTATCAGTAGACCTGGGTTTATAATTTAGAGATCGCCCTAGCATGTTAGGATACAAAACACGCTACTTTATGCCCTCGCGTCCTACCCTTGCCTTCCCTGTCCCTCGCTCAGCCTCCTTCTTCTTCTACCGCTCCCAGCTATCTTTCCTGCCACCTTCTCAGTCTACCATCCCCTATTTCCCTTAGCAAGCAATATTATAATGTTTGCCTTAGACGCACTACAGCCTAACACGGTGCGCGCGCACATGCGCCAATATCTCCCGTGAGAAATCGAATTTTTTTAAAGATTATGCATTTAATATAAAGAGGAGTTATCCTAGCATAGATTTATATATAACATTTCCATCAGTAAACATCATTTAATACATAGGAGGAACACCCTGCATGTAAGGTCACCGCTGTGCGTATACCAGCCAGTACACAATCTGGCTACGTTAGTGTGTTAGCACATGCGCAATATCTCATCAGAGGAGTTATATTTTGTGACGGAATATGCATTTAAAATGGTTAGGGCGTATCGCAGCATAGATTCCCTAACAAACTTTTATTAGTAGACCTGTGTTTATAATTTGGAGATCGCCCTAGCATGTAGGATACAAAACACCTACTTTATGCCCTCGCATCCTACCCCTTGCCTTCCCTGTCCCTCGCTCAGCCTCCTGTTCTTCTACCGCTCCCAGCTATCTTTCCTGCCACCTTTCCTCAGTCGACCATCCCCTATTTCCTCAGCAAGCAATATTATAATGTTTGCCTCAGGCGGCACTGCAGGCCTAACACCGGTGCGCGCACATACGCAATATCTCCCGTGAGAAATAGAATTTTGGAAAGATTATGCATTTAATATAAAGAGGAGTTATCCTAGCATAGATTTATATGATAACATTCCATCAGTAGACATCATTTAATACATAGGAAGAAGACCCTGCATGGAAAGTCTTCGCTGCATATACCAGCCATACACAATCTGGCTACGTTAGTGTGTTAGTGCATGCGTAATATCTCACCAGAAGAGTCATAATTTGTGATGAATATGCATTTAAAATGGTTAGAGGATATGCTCAGCATAGATTTTCCACAGAATGAAGCTTTTATCAGTTTAGACCTGTGTTTATAATTAGGAGAGCGCCCTAGCATGTAAGTGTACAAAACACCTACTTTATGCCCTCGCGTCCTACCCCTTGCCTCCCCTGTCCCTCGCTCAGCCTTCTTCTTCTTCTACTGCCCCCAGTTGTCTTCCATGCCGCCTTCTTCAGTCTCAATCTCCTCTCCCCCTTAGCAAGCTATATTATAAAGTTTGCCTCTGACGGCACTGCACGCCTAACACGGTGCGCGCGCATGCGCCATATCTCCCAAGAGAAATCGTATTTTGGAAAGATTATGCATTTAAAATATAGAGGAGTTATCATAGCATAGATTTATATGATAACATTCCATCAGTAGACATCGTTTAATAAATAGTAGGAAGACCTTGCGTGTAAATTAAGTCTTCGCTGCGTATACCAGCCAGTACACAATCTGGCAACGTTAGTGTGTTAGTGCATGCGCAATATCTCACCAGAGGAGTCATAATTTGTAATGAATATACATTTAAAATGGTTAGAGAATATCTCAGCATAGATTTCCCTAATAAACCTTTATCAGTAGACCTGTGTTTAGAATTAGGAGACCGCCCTAGCATGTAGGGTACAAAATACCTACTTTATGCCCCTCGCGTCCTACCCTTTGCCTCCTTTGTCCCTCGCTTAGCCTCCTTATTCTTCTACTGCCCCCAGTTATCTTTCATGCCGCCTTTTCTCAGTCTTCAATCTCCTCTCTCCCTTAGCAAGTTATATTATGAAGTTTGCCTCAGACGGCACCTGCACGCGCTACACCGGTGCGCGCGCATGCGCCATATCTCCCAAGAGAAATCGTATTTTGGAAGGATTATGCATTTAATATAAAGAGGAACTATCATAGCATAAATGTATATATTAACATTCCAATCAGTAGACAATTATTT